AACCCGGCATAGTGTACTGTGGGATGATACTGCATTCCTCTAGGAATTTAGCAAATGGTCCTGGACGCTGTTTACCTGAACCATCATATCTGCCATAGTATTCACCCCCACAGTCAAATTTGACGCTTTTAATTCTTTTGTCGAGTTGGTTCTCAACTTCAGCTTTATGGTTTTTGAATATATCCAGTGACTGTGATTTTTCATGAATGAGATATATGTAGCCATATCTTGAAAAATTGTATATGAACGTTATAAAATATTGTTGACCATTCCAAGAACCCGTAGGGAATGATTTACAAATATCCGTATATATAAGTTCTAAGACGTCCAAAGTCCTATTGGCTTGAAGTCTCCTTTTATTGGTTTGTTTTCCCTTTATACAGTTAACACACAAATAATAATCTGTGAAGTCAAGAGAGTCGAGAATCCCGCCAGACACAAGTCTCTCAATTCTTCCTTTGGAGATGTGACCTAATCTCTTGTACCACAACGAGGCAGAATTATCGCCGTTTAATTTTCGCTTTACACCTCGAGTACTTACATGCAAAGTTTCATTATAAGAAGCAATTGTATCAATTGAATAAAGATTATCGTAACCTGATAAAGTACCAGAACCAACCAATTTTGAATCATGAAACAAACTAAATTTTCCATTTCCAAATGAACAAGTATAACCAAATTTGTCCAAAACAGAAATAGAAATCAAATTTCGTCTAAAAGACGGTACAATAAATGTCTCAACAAGATCCAAATAAAATCCAGTCTTTAACAATAATCTAAATTTTCCTATTGCCTCTACTTCCATTCTTTTGTCGTCGCCAGCATAGATGTATCTTTCACCATCACTTGATTTTCAACAACTCAGGCAACCCTGCATACACATACTGATGTGAGTTGTTGCACCAGAATCTATCCACCGTGTATGTTTAGGTACCGAAGTTAAATTAACCTCAGAACAAACCAAATGAAGAAAAGTACCTTTCTTTACACGCCATGTGTGGTAATTGGTGCAATTCTTCTTCTTATGACCTGCAACTCCACAGAAGAAACAATCGCCTTCAGTTGGTTCCTTATGCTATTTCTTTTGCGGTACCATACCCGCAGCTTCCTTATTAATTTTTCTTTTCTTGTTCCTTTTGTCCTTAGAGGTGGTGGCCAAATGAGCACTTTCTGTCTTCTCATGCTTCAGTCTTTCCTCTTCCTGGACACAGTGTGAGATGAGCTCATTAAGGGACCATGAGTCCTTTTGACAGTTGTAGCTCACCTTGAATTGACTGAAATGTGCCGGAAGGGATATTAGAACCAAGTCCACTAACAAGTCTTCAAATAAATCTAACTTGAGTGCCTTTAGTTTTAAAGTAATGTGAGACATTTTCATAATGTACTCTCAAATGTTTCATTTCCCTTTATACCTCATTGAGACAAGATTTTCCAAAAGTGTACTTGTTTCAGTCTTTTCATTCTTGACAAACCTCTTCTCAAGGTCCTCAAGGAAACCCTTAGCCGTAGTCACCTTATCAGACATAGTGCCCCGGAATGCTTCTGGAATAGCACGCTTCATGACCATTAAACTTATGCAGTTCGATTGTTCCCACTTTTCCATCTCCCTCTTGTCATCAGAGGTACTCTTATCAGTAAGTGCAACAAGTTGATCGATCCGTAAAGCAAGGTTTAGGTCCATGACTCCGAGAACAATCATAACGTTCTCTTGCCATGCCCTGAAGTTTGTGCCATTTAACATTGGAATTGAATTGATGCTAGCAGAGATATTAGCAGCAGAACCTGAAACTAAATTAGAGAACATTTATTATGAATAGCTCACATGAATATCTTTAATATGCAAATAATAATAATATCAAATAGTAGTAGGGCCCATCACAAGATACCAAGCACAACATCAATATCTAGTCTTTGAACAGAGATATTGACTTGTAAGCGATACTCTTGGCGTAGTGATTAAACATTGACGATAAAACAACGTGTCAATCAACAAACGTTTCTTTGGATCGATTTATTGGTCACTCATTAAACCAAATAATCGTCACACATTTATCACCACAGGTGCACGTGTATTCGGCTAAATATTGACCTTCCTTTGGGCCAACCAATATTCCCATGAATAACACATGCACAAATACCTTTTAATATTCTAAGTTAGTCAATTTCCACAAGAGATGTTGCTTTGGCAACAGGTTGCTTCAATTAACCAACTTTCGAATATTATATCTCTTAAAATAGTCCTTAGTACCAAAATTTGAAAAAGAGAATCACCAGTTTTGTATTTTGATTAGTTTTAAAATTTAGGGGCCTTAGGATTAATAATTCAAAACTTAAAGGGGGCAAAATTAATTAATTCCAAACTTTAGAGGTCGAAATTAATAAACTTGAAACTTTATGGACCATAATTAATTAATTCAATACTTTAGAGGATCAATTAGAACAAATTTTAAAACTTTAGAGGCCAAAATTGACTAATTCAAAACTTTAGGGATCAAATTTTTAAAAATTTGAAACTTTAGGGGTCAATTTGAATTAATTATGAACTTAGGGGGCTAATTTGAACTAGTAATTAAAGTTTGAGGATTTTAATTATAAATTCAAAACTTTAATGGCCCGAATTAATTAATTTTAAAACCTTAGGGACTGAATTATTAAATCCAAAACTTAAATGCCCAAAACTTAATATAACTTAAAGGTTAGGGACTAAAATCTTAATTTTATAACCCTAACCCTAATTGCAACCAGGGGCCTCAACTTTCCTAATTTACTGTGCCCTGTCATAGCCGGAATATATTAAAAAATTATTTTTTTTTAAAAAAACTGTACTGTAATCTGAATAAAAAAATCCAAATTTCAAATCTAAATTTTTTCAACCATTAATCCGAATTTCGAAAATAACAAGAATTATACCGCAAAAAATTTTCAAATTTAACAAAATATATAACCAAAAATTGTTAAATCTGAAAATTTCAAAATATATTGCAAGAACCAAACTAAAATTTTTTGATTCTCAATGATTCAACATGAAGAGGGTCTGATACTACCTGTTGGATAATTTAGTGCTTTAAATTTCCGGATCTTTCATGTTAAATCATTAAGAAATACAAAAATTAAAGCGAAAGCATATCTGAATCAGACATGATTAATGCAATATGAATTTCGCGGTATAGTCTCCCAAATCTACACGCAGTCTCCTTTTACTCTTTGTGATGGGATGTAGTAGAGAATGAATAATAATTGCGTGTGATCTGAGGACCATAACCTATTTATGTAGGGACGCCTTTGACCTAATTCGACCCATCATAGAATTAGGACTTGTGCCCGATCTCTACACATGTGAACCCATACTTTAATTGGATACATTAAAACCCAAAATCGAAGCCTTATTAGATCACTTTAATTGGACTCAACCGAATTCGATAACCTATAATTTAACACATAATTATTCACACATACAAGCCCATCTTTAATTAAAAATCCTTACACACCATGGTATACAAGAAGCTTTATTGTAAAATAAATTACATTTGAAATTTTGTCAAAGTTAATGTTTCCGTAGGATGTAATGATCATGTTACTATGAAGGTAAAAGCACACAGACAAGCGAGAAAAATGCTGCAAAGATGCATGGCCAGAATATGAATCCCATTTGTACAAGCTTGTATCATTTATGGCAGGATAACAACATAAGTAAATTCATTGTCATTTTCAAGAATCCATATTCATGTAAAATTCATACTGGCTAAAGTTAATAAACCCTCTCACAAGTGAAACTAATCAGTAATCATTTCATTCGACATATAAAATAACAGATCAGACTCACGTGTAAATTTGATGTAGAATACCATAAACCATTGTCAATATTCAAGAAAAGTTATCTTCGATCAACCATCCGCTAACTTTTAAAAAGGAACATTAAAAGTTTTACCGAAGGAACATACATAGCCCAGAAAGAAAATATTGAAAAAAATATCCTAAAATTTTATTGTATCCTAGGTGGTTATGAATGACATTATCCAAGAACTTTTAAGCCTGTTAATATGCAAAAATGGATTTTCTTGAACAGAAAATCAATGAACGAAACCCAAAATACTAAGAGGATGGATTACTAGAACAGGTGGGTTGGATCACAAAATCATGCACCACAAAGTAAAACGCATGTGTGAAGGGTATACTGAACCCATTTATCAACACTACGGCAATAGTCACCACATTGTTAAGAAGGATTTAGTACAGTGTATTGGCTAATTGGCCAGCCAATAAGATCACACATGAATTTCACTTTGTATATTAAACCCTTTAGAAACTAGATGAATATCATCACCTCTCAAGTTAAATTGACATCAAAATCACAAGCTGGAGAAAGATTCCCAGATAATTTATGGTAGTGAACAGATTATCAAATTTAGAAACTAAACAATCCATTACCAATCAGTCTTCACCAACTAATGATCTAGCAACTATGAACGGAAAAACCTTCATTGGTTTAGTTTGATGATTAGAGCATAATTTATTAATTCAACTTGATGAGTACCTAAACTGTGTAACAAACCATGGTGTCCATTTTTTCACATAATTCGAGAAATATTGATTTTAGCATGCATTCTTACACAACACTCCAGTTAAAATTACCTTTCAAAAGGCTGAAGAACAATAAATATAAGTTAGCAAAAAAAAGTGAGAGTTCCATATATACAGCAACTGACTTTCACTCTCGGTGGCAAATATTGTTCTAGGGTCAAATTCAACAAATGCACAAGGCTCCTAGGTAGTCAAATCTTTTCAAGAACAAATTCCACGAATTCATGACTATCATATCAGAAAGACATGCTTTGGTTTGTCGTAAGAGGCATTCAGATTAACAATGACTATGCTGCATCAATTACAACAGTTTCCAGCAATATTTTGTCAGTAAAGCCGACACTACATAGGGAAAAAATGATTAACAAACTTCTAAAAATTGTGTAGCAATATTGTAAAAAGCTAATCATACTAGCAGGTGCAGAAAAGGGCTCCACTAGCCTTCAAAAATGGCTCATCTTTAATTGAGCTTGTCTGCACATATTGTCCTGAGGAGAATCAAGAAATGTTAACACCATCCCCTTTTTACAAAATTAAATCTCGCCTTCACACTACCGTCCTTACATATTCTAAAAATATTACAACCCAGGTTAGCACGATTCTTCCAGCACTCTGAAACCATTGAACTAAAATACGAATGATCCCTTTTCCAAATATGGAGGAGCAAGTATAGATTCTTCTTCCCTAACACATTAACAAAGGTTATAAAAATTTAAATTCTAATAAATACATCATAGCCTACCAATTTATTGCTCATGTTAAATAATCAGCACAATCATAAAACAAAAAATTCAAATGTACGCGATTAATCCAATAAATAATACTATTAATAAAAATTCACAATAAATGCTCATCAAGTTATTGAATTCCCAATCTCAAATTTAAAAAAAGAAAAAAGACCTTCATTAATTTTCTTTCACATAAATCCCTGTAAAACGAAACACTAAAAACAACTAACGGGTGGAAGGCGGCTTCTTTTGTGGTGCTATTCATCAACGTCGCGCTTTTTAGGCTTGCGGTAATTTTCTTCAATGTGCTTGGCGATCAAGAGGCCAGTGTTGAACAGCTTCTGGACATTGGGGACGTTGTAATTCTGGGCTACGTAAACTCCGAAGGCTGTGCCCATCATGAACGAAAAGCAGCTCTTAATCAATCCCATCCTTTCTGAATTTTCTGCTGATTTTAATTCAGATTTGAATGTTTTTGAAGCAAGATTTGAGATTTTCGTCGATCTGGTGTTTTGAGGGATTTCGCGTGGGATTTTAGTGCGAGATATTTTATTGAATGGTCACTGAAGTTTATTATAGGTTACTATTTGATCATCGATCTTTAAAAAGTTACACGTTTGCTCACTCAATTTTGTTATAGATTACTACTTATTCATCGAAATTTAAAATGTTACTCATTACTCACTTAAATTTGAATAAAGTTACCGTTGCTCACTAAACTTTGCAATAGATAGCACTCATAAAACTTAACTAATTTGATTAATACCTTAATAATTAATTAAATATTTTAAGAAACCATTAATTGTGTTATAAAACCGCCAAACCCACCAATGCATCTTTCTTTTTATCAAATTACTACGAATTAATTGTATCAATGATCATTGAACTTAGGCCTAGTCTTTGATTGTTCACTAAAGTTTAAAATGTGGAGTTTTGGTCACTGAACTTAGATCCATATCTTCGACTGCTCACCGGAATTTAAAATATCGAGTTTTGACTACTAAATTTTGAAAAATATTGTACGTTACTCATTAGCATAATTATTGAATTTAAAAAAAATCGAGTTTACAATTAGTAATGTATAACATTTTTCAAAGTTTAACGGCCAAAACTCGATATTTGAAACTTCAGTGATCAATAAAAAATATGGATCTAAGTTCAGCGACCATTGGAACAATTAACTCGATTACTACTGCAAAGAATTAGGAACCAGCACGTATAATGAAATTCTACAATCTCGACAAATCTCATTCCTTCAATTTCGTCATTACCTTTACTTCCCAACTCCTTTTTCCATTCCTACAACATTTTTACACTCTTTCAATTTCAGTTCAGCAAACCATTTCTCATTTTTGCCTCTCTAATTAGAAGATACAGAAACCCTTTTAAGAGTGTTAACATTCGAGTCTCAACCTTTTCTTCCATGTCTCATTGTCCCCAGGGGCGGATTCAGGAATTTTTAGCGCATGGGCTAAAATTTAAAAGTCAATATAATAAATTTATATATTACATTAAAGTCAAATTCATTTAATTTGAAGTTGTTCTCGACGAGGTTTTGAAACATAAAATTCGTCTATAACAGAATCTATATATATCTTTTGAGCAAGTTCTCGTTCAATGAAGAGTGTCATACAATCAACAAGAAAGTCATCGTCCATTCTATTACCAAGTTCCATCTTCACATGTTTCATTGCTGAAGATGCTTGCTCAGTAGTCGCGGTAGAAACAGGTAAAGTCAGCACAAGACGAATTAGTCTAGTAACCATAATATAAGTCTCCGACCTTCTACTCTCATGTAACTGTCGACATGACTCAACAAGTGTGGATACTTGAAATCGAGATTCAGCCTTCATATCTAGCTCATAATGTCACAATTCATATTCCAAAGTACGAATATCTTGCTGAGTAAAATCTGCAGGATAGAATTTCTCAGCAAGTGTACAAATGTCATGACTGTTAAATGATTCAAATGAATTTCTAGGATCCAAAGCTGCACTGAGTTTGAGAAGTTCAACTGATGTATCATTAAATCTTGTATTTAATTCTATCAGTACGTAATCTATTGCTTCATTGAAAACATCAAAGTAATAATTATGCTCCATTATAATTGGATCGCGAGAACGACAAGGACCAATTTTATACAAACTTTCTAGGTCGGGTATCTCAATATCATGTTTTGCACAAAACTTTTTCACTTCCCCGAGAAATTCTTCCCAATCATCATCTCTCAATTTGTTAAGGAGTTTTGTTGTAGTAGAAACAAATCTCATAGCAGTCAAGATGTCTTGCGATTTTCTTTGAAGAGTCTGACAAAGAACATCGGTTATTCTCATGATGGTATGCATTAAATGCAAACTGAATACAAAATCAAAACTTTTCATATGTTTGTAAGTGCCATGAACTTCGCCCCGAGATCTTCCATTTGGACAATGAACACTAAGATCTTCAAATACCTTGCAAGTTGCATTATACATATCTATCAAGCTCTTTATAGAGTCATAATGAGAACTCCTCCTGATCGTTGTAAATTACCCACTTGATTTGCTCCACTTCCTGACTCACGCTCCCCAATAGCTAACATATGCTCAATTTCATTCCTTTGAGCAGATTGTAACTCCATAATGAATTTAGGGGAAGAAGTGACAATGTTGATAATATTTTCTAGATGAGAAAAGAACTCCCCAATAACATCAACTTCTTTAACTGCATAAATCAATACCAACTGTAATCGATGAGCAAAATAGTGGACATAATAAGCATACGGACAATCTCTAAGAAATAATGCCTGAAGTCCATTCCAAGCGCCCCGCATATTACTAGCACCATCATATCCTTGACCTCTCATTTTTGCCACTTGAAGTTCATGTTGAGCAAAAACATTTGAAATCCCATTTTTTAGACTTGATGTTTTAGCGTCACTGACACTTTTGATGTCAAAATAACCCGATCATTCACCAACCTCAAAACAATGGTCATTTGTTCTCTCTTAGATACATCTTGTGTTATCAACAAGAATACAAAAGTATCCATCCCCAATTTCTGTACGAATCATCCTTCTTACTCTATTTGTCATTATGTGTAAGATTTCTTTTTGAATACTGGAAGCAACGTATTGGGTATTTTTTGGAGCATTTTTCATCACAACTTTATCAATTTCTGTATTCGTTTTTGCCAAAATTTTTATCATTTCAAGAAAATTTCCACGATTCAATGAAGATTCAAATTCATCATGACCTCTGAAAGAACAACTTTGAAATGCTAGCCATTGAGCACTTCAAATTGAAGTTTTTAAACGTAAACGACGTTTCTCAACTTCTTCATTCGATCTGGTATGCATCACTTTATCATTATGTTGAGACGGTTTCATTAAATCTTCAGCTCTTCTCTCACACATATTATGATCCGATGATCGCAAATGAGTAAGAAACACACATTTTGATCCGTCATTAACCCTTTTCCATTGGTTATATTCAGAAGTTATCAATGCCGAACAATTGGACGAATTACCATCATTCCGAAAAAGATAACAATAGAAACAATATGCCCTATTTGTCATAGGTGAATACTCTAACCAAGGAAACTAGTTGAACCATTTTGCCTGAAAGCGACGAGATTGAGATTTTCCCTGTGTCTTAGGATACTCAGCAAGTTTTGGTTGAAAAGGCCTAGCCTTTAGATATGCCACTCTAATCTCATCCCGCAGATTAAAAAGAAATTCAAGTATCTGCTTTCTTTTCCCCGATTCCCTTTCAATGTCAATATTTGATGATGAATGATGTTTGACTTTTGGACGAACTGAAGGTTGATCTTCAGTTAGTCCATCAAAAGTTGTATTTTCAGTAGGTCGACTTGCCCTTTGGAAGAACGAAAACAAGTTCTTATTCTTCTTGATAGGAGGTTGACCTTCCATTTTCAACTTCTTAAAATTGCAAAAAAAATAAAAAATAAAAAATAAAAAAAATCAATCATCTATGATATCACTCTAACGATAATAAAAAAAACTAATTCATTAAGTTAACAAGGCAACAATAACAATTATTAATCTGACAAGGCAATAACAACAATCATTAAGCCGACAAGGCTACATCAACATGTCAACAATAAGTTATTAAGCCGGCAAGGCCACATCAACATGTCAACAATAAGTTATTAAGCCGACAATGCAACATTTGAACAATAATTAATTAACTACTTCAATATTTTGCCGAGAAGGCCACAAGTAGAGAGATGGGGACATTTACCTACTAGAGACTACTGACTAGGAAGTGTATCAAGCTTTTGCAATTTGCTTTTCCTACATGTCAGCGGCCTGCGGGAATCAAAAATATACTGCATTTTTTAAATTGAAAAATAATTCAATCAAAATTTAAGCATGTTAACAATAAAAGAATGATTATGCATTATAATTTAGCATGGACTTCCACAGTTACTTACTCAAAACAGAAAATTTAATATCAAATTATTAATATAATACTCAAAGCAAAAAATTTAAAAATGCTCAATTACTTAAAAAAATAAATAATTATCGGGTAATTTCAACAAGCTGCAAACAAAAAGTTAAAAACTATGATTTTTCAAAAACTTATACTCAATAATTCAATAAATATCAATATTAACATATGGGTCGACAAATATATATATAAAAAAGGTCCAATTTATAAATTCGAAGAAACCACAGACTACAATTGAATTTCTACACTTCGAAATGGGACATACGGCACTTACCAGTTCAAAAGCCGTTGTCTTTGTTTGTTCGGTTGTCCCGCACTTCCGCTAACATATGGGTCCCTTAATGTTCTATAAATTTTGCCGTGTCGGTGAAATGGAGACAGAGGAATCGCCTTTTCCCTTTTGTCCTTTTCTCGTTTTCGTTTGAATGGTAGACTTCTGGACCTGTCGAGTTGGTAATCTGAAATGGAAGAATTTAATTTGGGTTAGAATTTAGAATTATGTTTAATTTGGGTTTAAATGAATGGTGGACTTGGTGGTATGTTTGGGCCAATGGGCCATTTCCTTTTTATGTTAGATTAGGCTTACACATTTTTTTTCTTTGGACATGGGCTGGATTTTTTACTGGACACGGGCTGGTCACTCAATTTACAAGAGCTGAACAAAAAAATAAAAAAATAAAGAGGAAGACTTATTAGATCTGGGCATGGGCGAGCACGGGCTGTAGCTCGGTCCAGCCCATGCCTGGATCCGCCTATGATTGTCCCAATTTTCAAGGTGGCCATCATGGTGGAGCAGATCATGGCGGGGCGGCATTGATAGTGGCCGTGGCTGAGGTGGATGCTGTGGCGGAGTAGGGTCGTATCTAGAGAGTTGGGCACCTCTACCAAAAAGAAGTTGATGTAATATATATATATATATATATATCCATTTTGAAGTAAGTTGATTGTTGGGTTTATAATCAGTCCAGGACTCTCCATTTACAAACTTTCTAAGTTATAAATCTTTAATCACCTTTTCAATAGAAAGGGATGAGTTACCTTTTTATTTGTCACGTGTATTGTTAATTTTAGTTTATACAAGAAAATGAGAAACTTTTTGAGTGATATAGCCTTGTGTAATCAAATAGATCACTCGTGAAAAAAGATACAACTTCTTATACAGGAATTATATATTGAGTACGAATTAGAAAGAAAGAAAGGGGGCGGGGGGAGTTGATTTTTGTATCGATAGTACTGGAGAATATGTCCAAAAACCTATACGCTCAAATGGATGTCCCAAAAGAATTGTGGGGATTGACAAAAAGTGTGACATCGCTCCGAGTACCTTTTGGTGAATATCCTAATGCCATACCTTAGTTGTTGTTCCCCTTCTCTCGAAAGTCCCAAAGGGAAATTTTAACGAGCCTCCAAGAAGATTTGATCACAATACTTTTGAATATTTTTCTATTCATGATGCTAATAAGAAGCTCGTTGCAGAAGAACCAATGGTTAGTCCTCTTCTCATGGATGCATATTAAGAATAGGAGCAACCGCAATAATGGGCAATGAAGCTAGAGTCTTTATTAGAAGTAACTTTGCGCTATTGTACCAAGATATTTAGGCAATGCAAATCGATCGTGATTTATGATCTCATACATGACAACATGTGATGGGGTCATGTGTTTCACGTGTAACTGTAAGGTTGAGATTCTAAAATTAAGTTTTAAGTTATATGTTTAGTTCATTTTTTTCCCTTTCATTTTTGTCACTCTTTTTTTAATTTCGTCACTTTTTGAATTTTTCTCACTTTTTCGTTTTCTATCACATTTTTTTGGATCACTTTTTGAATTTTGTCCCTTTTTGATTGTTTGTCACTTTTTAATTTGTCTTTTTTAAAAAAAAAAATTCATCAATTTTTTTTTTTTGGTATATTTGTCAATTTTTCAGTTACCTTCTTGATTTTTACACCTTTTTTTAGTGATATTCATCACTTTTTAATAATGTATTTTTTTGAATAAAAATGACACTTAACTTTTAAAAGTGTTACTGTGCCCTTATTATTTATGATTAAAAAGTGACAATTTTTATAATAAGTGACATTGTGTGACTTTTTAATATTACGCAATATTTTTTCCTTTCAAAAAACTTTTCATATGATTTTTTAAAAGATAACTACTTTTGAGGGTATTTTTTCTAAGTTTCCCAAAAGAACACACACATGTTTAAGCCCATCTTTCGAAAGAATAAGTTCTGTAGATATGATTTTTTCGAAAAATATGTGATATATATATATATATATTTTAAATCACATGCAAAATTATTTTATTAAAAAATATGCCGTTTAAAATAAATTTGAAGAAATATAAATCTTTATATAATGGTATCAAACGAGAAATTGACTTTTATAAAAAATATATATATTTTTGTATGCTGTGTTTTTTCAACTTATAAAAAGGCCATTTATTGGATGGAATTGAATTTTGTACACTGAATTCATGTTTGGATATGATTCCGAGTTAATAACCTAAAGTGGTCACTAAATTTTGTAAAAAAAATTCACGAAGTCACTGAACTTTAAAAATCACCCAAATCATCACTAAACTTTACAAAAGATTTTTACAGAATAATTGAACTTTGCAAAAAAATTTCTTGAGGTCACTGAACTTTAAAAATCATTCCATTCGTCATTGAACTTTACAAAAATTTCTCAAAGGATCACTGAATTCAATGACCCCATAAAAATATTTTGCACAATTTAATGATAAATGGAATGATTTTCAAAATTCATTGACCTGTGTAAATCTTTTGCAAAGTTCAATAATGGTTTGAATGGTTTTTAAAATTCAATAACCTCATAAAAACTTTTTACAAAGTTCAATAACAATTTGGATTATTAATCCCACAATTTGATTTGAAATTTGAATACGAATGCATGAAAGATTTTACCTTAAATCTCGCAAGAATCAATTTGGAAGAATTTTTGCAATTTTTATGTTTCAAATTCAATACTTTTTTTTTTTTAATGACCATGAACGTCCGAACTAGCTCACGCACACCTCGATTAATCTCCTGGGACCTTGAAGTTTACAGTCGAATACTCACCTCAGTAGTCCTAAGAGAATTCGAACTGGTGATCATTGGGGAGTAAACTTAATACCTGACCACTGAGAGGAGCGGGTAAATTCAGTACATTTTTAAGTAACATTTCCACTCCCAAATATATTTTTCCAACCCAATAACAAAGTTAGGCATATGCCTAACTAATTATCTTATTATTGCTGGAGTAGTGAAATATTAATTTTTCTATTTATATAAAATTGTGTGGTAGTCAGAGAGAAGTTTATAAGAACTTAAACTCTATGACGATGACATTTTTTATAGAGCCATGAATATCAAGCTAGCATACAAATTCTCAAGTTTTTAAGGATTACTTTCTTATTTGATCTATGATGATGACATTTTTATAGAGCAAAGAAATGTAACCCATAATACAAAGTTGGCACGCAAAAGCTTTAACTGTAAATAAATTAAAACCATACGCAACATCAACATAGTCAGACTAAATTGAAAATCAAAATAATTAGAAATATCAACATTGTTCAGTACTTTCCAAGACTCGGAAACTATACTCAGATGCACAGTGCATATACTTTCATCAAGTAATATATTCATAAGATAGTCACAGAAACAAATATTACTAACACGATATAATAGCAGAAATTATTGCGGAATAGACTCAAGCATGGAATGTGAAAGCTATGGTAGGACGAAGTTCCCAAATGTGTTCTCTCCGCTGTAGGTTACATAAAGGAAACCATCTTCGTCTTTCTTTTCATCATATATCGCAGACATAATAGCGCCTGAAAAGAGCATTAAACCAAGGAGTTGCATCACAAAGGAAAAATTATGTCTGAGGTAGCCAACCCGGTGTTGGATGTGTGGAAGTGGAACTATAATATACTGTACACTTTTTCCTGTCTCTGTGTGCGGTTTTTTTTTTATGGGGAAAAACTTGCACATGTATTAGGTCACAATAATATTCCCCCCCGATATAAAGGCTATTAGGGCAAACCAGAGGTTATGTTTACCAATTTTATCACTCAAAACAGTACTCAGTGCACCACACCTGACTTTTAGCATAAAATTGAAACGTCTTGGGTCCAAATGCCTAGAATAATTGGTTAAGGTCCCAATCCATAATGAAAATACATGATGTTGTTGGATAAAAATATTAAGCTAACCTGTCGGTGGCAGAACATTGTCAACAAATATGAAAATAGCTTTCTCTGCACTCAATTTGATCCTTTTGCGAATCACATAAACAAATTGCCCTACAGTCAAGTCAGCTGGAACGAGATACCTGTAATTTTTTCAAGAGATAAATGAAATAATTCCATTTTTATTATCCTGAATATGAAAAAGTTGGGAATCCAAACCCCTCTGTTTGAATCAGCTATCAAGCAAAGTATCAAAAAACCAAAATCAGTAGAAACAACAATTAGCATTCCGAACCAGAAAACAAAGAGGGAAAAACTAAAAAGAAAATTCAACTCAAGCAAAAAGATGTTTCATTCGTTCAAACTCCAACAATTACGTAGACTAAATTTTGTTTCAAGGACCAAGAAATAAGAGTTTCGAATCTCCACAAAAAATGTTTTACTTTGACATCATCAAAACCAAGAAATACCATTTACCAGCGATAACATAGTAGGGGCAGTCAATCCGTATAGATATTACATAAATATGTCACAGCATGCCGTCTGGAAGTAATTGTAAAACAATTTCCTTATTTGTGAATTTTACGTCTGAACAAAGCTGCTATCCTATTAAACCGTAAGTTCAAATTTCAGGGAAGTTTTAATGCTATATCCATGAGGTCATGCGCATCAATGTGATAAAATAGAAAGAAAATTTGGGAAAAAAAAAGAAAAGAAAAGAAAAAAAGACAACAACAAGGGTTTGTCTTTTGGCCCAGCCCATATTCAAAGTCCAATTTCTGGGGTTTAAAAGCGTGGATTCAAATACAGAATCATATATTTTCACCATCGTCTAACCAAGTTATGTTTTCCACATCACTTATGTATATGGATCTCCTGATTTAGAATCTTTTTATGACAGCTAAAATTAAAAGTATCTTGACGCATAAAAGTTGGATTCAGGGACTTTGTGTAAACATCAAATTGTCTCAATTTTGTGCTTGTCACAAAAGAAAAGAGCTTAAAACAGAGCGGCGAGAGAAACTTTGATGGTAACATCAGCAAGACATTTCAATCGATCGAAGACAGATAAGGTGACAAAAAGTTCGCCAGAAAATTCTCCAGAAGTTGCAAAGCTTACAACCGATTATGAGCCAGATTTTCAAGTGCCACAGCAACATTAGAGGTATAACAAAGTCAGCCATACCCCAAGATCACTGGAAAATTGGTTATTACTATAGTCATGAAAAATTATGCCTTTTTCATAAAGCATGTTGATGGGTATATTCAGTAATGTTGAACCAACAAATTTTAGTGACAATGCAACGTCACAGAAATATTACGATAAATTTACCGAACTCCAATAGTGGAGTCAACGCTTACTTTTTTTTGTCAATATTGGGAATATCACTTCTTTCTGCCTTCTCAACAATCACCTACATTCAACAAAAAAAATATAACTTCATTTATCATAGAGTTTGCGTAAAATTACATGTACTTAATACGTAGCAACAATTCAAATAGTATTTAGTAAAGCATAACGCAACTAATGACAATCAACAAACCATGAAAATTGCAGTAAAAGGAGAAACTGAGAAATCTCACCAAATCCTTTGAACATGTAGCAACAATTCAGAACTTACATTAACAGTTGAAATTATTATCATTTCAATTTCCAAATTGTAATTCTACCAATGAGTAACTGTTACTTATATTAATACCGTATTTTTTAAGTCCACTGAATATTCCAAATTTTTATGAATAGCTTGAAATGAAATAAGATGGTTAAATCAGAAGGCTGAATTCTCACGGGAATCCTATCAGGGTACTTCTCCCTTATCCTAGCAGCTTCAGCACGCCTCTTCTCTGAAATAAATACAATATAACAGCTTATATTTCCCCCCATAAGATATGAATGAAGAAAAACTAATTAAAAAAAAAAAAAAATTCCAATTCATCAAAAGGAAGTACAAACCAAGAACATGTTCTTGCTTGAATGAACTCTTTGCCATTCCAAGTTTCCAACTGTATCACTGCTCAAAGCAGAAAGTTACATTCTTGAATTACTTATTAAAAAAAAAAAAAAACTATCATATCATTAACATTAATAAGAGAAAAATTCCTCTGTGCTCTAAAAATTCCACCAATGGAATTATAAATTAATTAACAAATAAAACTATCCGTGATTTCTCGGAAAATCCCATCTACACATTAATAGAACACACACACAAAAAATTAAAAAATGAATATATATATATGAAAAACAAAACTCTGGGCTCTATAAATTTCATCAATGGAATTATAAAATAAATAATTCACTGTCTAATGAAAATTCCATCAAGATATTAGCAAAATCAAAACCCAAAAACTATATAAAAAGAAACGTATCTTGATGAAATCAGAATCTTGAATTAGCTCTAAAAGCAAACAAAAAATCATAAACAGATTTCACTAACATGACAATATAAAACATAATCTTAAAAAAGACGAACCTTTAAGCGAAGAATTGGAGAATGACGGTGACGAAAGAAGAGGAAACAAGACACAATTTCTGGATGTGATTTTGGCTTACGCGAATGATGACTTTGCTTTAACTTTTGTTTTTAAAACGGTGTAGAGTGTGAAACCTAATCTAAAATGTATCTAACTTTTTAGTTCAAAAATAGTAGCGGTGTGCGCGGGTCGGTTCGATTCGATTTTCTGGTTAGAATCGAATCGAATCAAAATTTTCGAATATCTAATAAGTGAAATCGTCGTGTCCAAATATAATTATGGAACCGTTCGGGTTCGGTGCCGTTCGGGTTCGGTTCCGTTCGGTTCTGTACTATGATTAAATTTTTTTAACATTTATAACAACATTATATAAATACAACTAATGACACATTCAATGACTTTGAAATGTCAGAGACTAGTAGATTACCTTATTCAAATGATCGGTACGGTCAAAGATTTGGTCTATAACTATCAACTTTCTTTATGGTGGCTAACTTGTTGTGGAACTGTCGTTTCTAACTGTTGCCACTACTCTTTGTCGTTTAACCGTCTTCAACTGAACTCCTTGAATCGTGGAACGTGATAGGGTTACTCGATAACTGCACTTCTGGATAACCATAACATCTTATGTTTGCTAAGATCCTGGGCGATTTGAAGATTTAGGTGAGAACGGGATCATAGCTCTGGGCGACTGTAAGGCACTTCATTCGCTCAAATCTTAGGCGTCTTGCAAGCTTAGGCGATGATGTTACTGTGTTCGTGGGCTTCAACTACATTCATTAATAACCCTATCTGGGCTTTTATCCTGAATTACCCAGTTGGGCTTCATTCTTTGGGCTATTTGATTTGGGGATTCCTCAATTGGGCTTCATTCCCTGGGCTATTCGATTTGGACTGCACTTTTAGTGTGTCAACAATTACCCCCCACTATGGCAGAATTAATACCAATTATTAATCTTTGCCATATTTACCTTGTGTTTCCCAGCAACATTTGAAATTCTCAAGAATTTCAATCATTATTTCCTTCTATAGCCTAAAAAAGTGCGACGCTACAAACCTTTATAAACCCCAGAGACACGTCATCTCGCCATACCACTGTTCATCTTTTTCCTTCTCTGCTACGTTTCTCGAGCAAACTTTAACAAAACTGTATTTCGTTCCCAATGGCTGCTCCATAAACCCAATCTGATGACTCTTTTAGCTTCGATGATTTCCAGAAAATCCTCACTCGGTCATATGTAAATCCAAACTTTCTTGCACCAGCTAATGTCGAACTTAATGAGTTCTACCTGGGTCCTTCATTCAACAACGCCGAAGCCGTCGAACAAGTGGTGGTGGGCCAGCTGTTTCCTTGTACTCAAGGCCCTCAATTCCAGAACTCTTTGCCGCTGAGGCCTATTCGCGAAAAATGTATTCGCACTTGGCCTAAATCTTATGTTATTTTCCGTAGATGGTATGCTCGCCTTGTGGGCCATGGTCCTACCAAGGCAATTTTTGATCGTGTTAGGATTTCTGATTTATTAGAAATCTTTCTTCAACCCCCAATATTTGACCAAGCACTTTTTTCTATTGCTTTAAGTTTTTGGTCTTCTGAATATAATACTTTTGTTTTCCCTCTTGGTCCCATGTCAATCACTTTAAGGGATGTTGGGGCCCTGATAAATCTTCCACCTTTGGGCGACACCATTTTTCCTGGTATTTTGATTTTTGGTGTTGTCCTAAAATTTGACAAAAAACTCACTGAGTCCTATTCAAGCTTGCAAAGCTCTCATAATCACTTAAATGCTGAGTCTTCCCATGCTGAGCGTGTGGCCTTTTTTCAGATATGACTTTGTAAATATATTCTGTGTGTGCCCAGTTTGAAGCCTTCTATGAGCTGTTTACCCATAGTGCACGAATTGGCGCGTGGTAGGTCTTTGAATTTGTGTTCCTTCTTTTTGGCTGGCCTCTATAGAGACATGACTTCTCTTCAATTTCAATTGAAGAATGGTGCATCTTCCACTGGCAGTGTGCCTCTCTGGTTCGCTCAACTGTGGTTGAGAGCCTATTTTCCGTCACTTGGTGCTCTATCTATGTCCCTTCGTTCTGCTAACTGCTATGGGCTAGCCATTAACCCATTGAGCCCTGTAAATATGTCCAGAAGGGACATTTTTTTCATTCTTTTATACTTTAAATTCTATTCCTTCTTTCTTTCCTTTTCCCGCTCATTTAACTCCAGACTATGTGCAACCTACATCCACCCTGGACAGTGCGAGCGCCTTTCTGCTCATTTGGGTTTAGTTTTTGACTGGGAGGGAGTTGTTCCATGATATTTTAACTGGAACCAATGCCAAAGCTGGGGTTGAAATATATGCTCCCCAATTTTTTGCTCGCCAACTTGGTTTTGGCCAAACTTGGCTTGTTCCCCCTTGTTATTCAAAAAAATTGATAGACCACTTTCACACCATTAATAAGGTAGAGGCACAAGCTATAGATGCTCGCAATATTCTTTTGACGAGTAACTTTTCATTAGCCCCTTCAATCCTAGCCGTGCTGTTCACCTCCTTTTTGAACAACTCTGGTCATCAGTGAAGCGCAGATTGTTTGCAATTGATGTCAATCGTGCTTTCTATTCACTGGATCAGCTGAACATTCCTTCCACTTGTCCTATTTTGGTCACCCCTGTGTCCATTAGGAATCCTTCCTCCCCCGCTCGTGCTAAACAATCTGTTCGTCCCTCTACTTCTCTACCTGCCAAACTTACTGCAGCTAAGAGCGCCCCAAGCCACAAACGGCCAGCTTCAGCATCTCCCATTTTGGAGGAGGATGATGATGGTACTCCTCTCATCGTCAGGAGAAAGGTAATTGAATTGAATTCTATTTACTCACAAGCATACCTTTCTATGTGCTAATGGTTTTTTTGAATTTCTCAGAAAAGTTTAGCCTCTCCTTTGAAGGCTTTGGTGTTGGCAGCTCCTACTCCATCATCCTCTGTTGGAGCTGCTTCGTCCAAACCAACTGATGAAGGGACCACGCTTAAAGAAAAACATTCAGTCCCAAAACCTTCATCACAATCAATGGACGAGCCACCTTCTTGCCAGGGCGCCGACCTCCCAAACGTCGAATCAGAAGGTAATACATTTTTGATGTGTCACCTTTGCTTGTGCTATTGGTTTCTGATTTGTTGCTTCTTTAATCATGCAGAGGCTCCCATAGGTCTGCCACTTGTGGCAGAGTCTTCTCACCTAGACAAGGGGAAGTCTCTCCTGGTGGTGGGGCCACAGGTGGTGGAGCCAACTGGTGATATACCACCCCCCAAGATTGCTGATGAGGTAACATTTTGCTTCACTTTTATTTTCACTTTGTTTATTGTAGTGAAAACCTTCAATGTTGGCAGTTTTCTTTGCAGGATGCTGATGAGATTGTGCGTTCCATCCAGGACTTGTTCACTTCTTGGGGGCAAGTCAAGACGTCTCGCCCTGCTTCAACATGTCGTCCTTCTGCTTCTTCAGAGGAAGACATGAAGTTCTTCAAGCAGTCGATATTTAAGTATGTATCTTTTATGGATATGGACATCGGTCAGGCTAGTGCTGCCAAATATAAGGGTAAACTTGAGCATTTGAGTGCGAAGTTGGCGCAAGCACTGACACTTCTGTCGCTCAACATTTCTGCTGATCTTAAAGCGACGTTGAAAGTTGTCCACTCTGACATTCTCTCTTTGCTAGCCAAAAATATTGAACTGAAGGCCAAGAATACTCAATATCTTCGCGCTGCATCTGAAAGAGAGTCTTTGCTTCAGGAGATCAACAAAGCTGAGGACGAATTGAAAGAAATCTCTTCCGAAATTATGATTGAAGACTCTTTGATGACCAGTTTGGCTGCACAGATGAAGGAGCTTCTAGCAAGGATGGATGACTGCAAGGCGAGAATGGCTGCTAAAAAGTGTAATGTTTCCCAAGGAATTGAGCGAACCAAGTCTTTGGTCGAGCAGTACAAGAAGCTGGAGGTTGATGATGATTATGTAGCTGAATTGAATGTCACTTCTTCTCAGCAGAGCGAGGATTGGGGGAGACTTAGGGAAAGAATTCGTTCGGTCTGGAGAGAATTGTAATTAAGACATCTAATGCCTTAACTTTTGTTTTTGTAACTTCGTATTAACTTTCATCTTGTAACCTCGTACTGATAGCCTTGCCAATTTTGGATGTAACAGCAGCCATTGTCATTAATGAACAACTAATTTGTCTTCTTGTGTATTTATTGACGTTTGTCCTTAATCGTCAAACCCCCCAAGCATTTAACTGCTTTATGATAAGATTCATGTACATTCTCTTTTGGTATTTCTATCTCTTTTCCCAAGACTTTAGGCCCTTTGACTCCAATTACTAGGCACGAATATGGCTGTTCATATTCTGTCTCTTCACCTTCACGTCCCTATAAATGTACGTATATTTCGCACTTTTCATTTTCATTTCCATTCTTTTCTTCAAAAACTAATTTGTTGTCATCATTTGGCATCTCAACTATCGATCCAAAATTTACGTCTTCCACAGAAATGGATCATTTGATCTGCCCATTTTGCCACCTATTTTGATGTCACTTTGGTATGGGAGATATATGAAATATTCTTTGGCTAGCAAAATTCTTCCCATCGTCTCCATGTTCTTTACAAGGAGTTCAATGATGGAAGTCAATTTTTGAGGATGCCTGTCAAGCCACCATGCTTGCTGAGAGTGCTTCTCAGTCTCCTTGCGTTATTGTAGCGATGCATTTAGGCAAGCGAGGTGGGGTGCTTCTCTTCCCTTCTACTTGCTGAGAGCGCTTCTCTGCCTCTCTACTTGCCTTTGCATCAGTTCGATCAGGATGACAATTAAGGCCAGTTCACCCTCTTACTTGGCGATCGATCAGGAGATTAGTTCGCTCTTAATTGTTGCTTATAGAGCATTAAGTATTTTGTATCTTGCAACTTTGTAATGAACGTTTGATAATAAATGAATTTATTTGAACGTATTTCGCTCTGGCCCTTTTTTATCTACGATCGTTCAACGTGATTTGATTACGCTTTTATTTGTTCACTTTCCCATAAGGAAGGAACATATTTTTTAAAATATTTGCCATTAATGAACCTCATGTACTTGGTGCCATCTAAATCTTCCAAAT